CTGATGATTTGAATGGGATATTTGGGAGAAATGAATGAAAATCAAATGGAAATAAACTGCACAACAGATTCGTTTGAAACGTTTGAAAGTAAAGTAATCATAAAAATCACTTCTTGAAATTGTTGCGATGATTTATTTTGAATATCTTTATGATATTTCGACTTATTCACCGTCAGATAGTCCAATTTCACATTTGGTTTCTCTTTTTTGGGTGGCTGAAATGATTTACTTCATTGGATAATTCAAAGTTCAAAATATTCATTTCTAATAACATCTTCCGAAGATTCACACCGACCCATGCTCTTAATTCAATTGTTATCCTTGCGAAACCACATTGAAGAAAGCGATAAAATGCTGATAAAATCACACGTCGCTGGCAAGTCAAGAATTTGAACTCATTATTTCCAAAAATATTTTCATCTTTCACTTAAAATTCTCGTTAAACACACCAAGTTTTATTTTTCAAAGTAAAATATTTCTGCTACTCATCAGAAATTTTTCATCAAAGAGAGCCATGAACTCACTTTTGATTCTTTTCGTCGCTCTTCTGTCAATTCTTCATTTTCCTTTGATGCCTCTCGTTTCTTCTTCTTCTTCTCATGATGATGCTCTTTTCCTGTTTCTTTTCGAGACGACTTCACTTTACTGCTCTCCTAAAATTGCCAATTGAAACAAATCATCGCTTCTTTCACGGCTTCAGAGTTCTCACATTTCACTTCATTCAGAATGGAATTCACTCAATTTATGAAACGATTTTAGAAGCGCCTAAAGGTACTCTATCAAATCATCTAGCACTACTCTACCAACCATCATTAATCAAAAACAAATCCAAAAACCAACGAACCGTTGTGGGTGATGCGGAAGTCAATGCAGATGCAGCAGCAGATTTCTTCGATGTGCCGCCCGCATGTTTTTTGCTCTGATTCTTCTTCGCCTTCAACTCCTTCACTTTCGCATATCGTGCCAAATACTTCAGCAAAAAATCCGCTCGTGCTTGCAGATGTTTCGCTTGAGGTTTCTTGTTCTTATCTTTAAGCCAAATCTGCAAAACAAATCAAATAAATCAAATTAAAACGAAACTAATGCAAAAACGTTCAAAACGCTAAAATATTCATCTAATCCATAAACTTTTTCAAACAATAGTTGTCATCATCCACTGATAAACTGAAATCGCACGTTGTTGATGATCAGATATCTTCATAAAAACAACATAAAAAACATTTGAAAAGATAGAAATCTATCTGAAATTATTCTTTC